AGCTAAAGAAACTGGAAGAAATGATGGTACAAAAGAGCTGTACAGGAAATTTCAAAGAACAGCTTTATAAGACAGTCGCGTATTATAAAGAAATATGCAAAGACTTTCAGTTATAGCATTTCTCAAGCTGAAAGAACTGAAGAAAAAAGTCAGGCCTGGTATTGCAATATTGAAGGATTCTATGAGTCCTGGTGTGGTTCTGTAATATAAGCACTGGACTGGTGGCCTCAGGGTCAACAATTCAAACCCACTGGCCACTCTTGGAAACCTTATACAAGGTCGCATTAGTCAGAACCAGCTTAAGGACATACAGCAATAGCAATGGACAAAAGAAGATGGAAGAGATACACACAATCACTGTACTGGAAAGAATTGGTCGATGATCAGCAATTTCAAGGGATAGATTATGATCAAAAACTTATGGAAGACATATAAGCTGCACTGAAGGCATAGTGAAAGACAAGGCTGTAGGAATTGGTAGAAAACCAACTGAAATGTTTCAACAAACTGATACAGTGCTGGAGGCGTTCACTAGCCTATGCCAAGAAATTTCTAACCTGTTGGAAGATGTATATATTTGTACCCATTCCAAAGAGCAGTTGCCCAACGGAATGTGGCAATGATCAAATAATATCATTAATAACACTTGCAAGTAAAATTTGCTGAAGATGAAAATGGTTGCAAACATTATATCAACAGGGACTTCCAGAAATTCGAATCAGATTCAGAAGAGGACATGGAACTAGGGATATCATTGCTGACATCAGATGGATTATGGCTGAAAGCAGAGAATACCAGAGAAATGTTTAGTGCTTTATTGACTTTGTAAAGGCATTCAACTCGATAGACCATAACAAACTACAATAACATTGTGAGGAATGGGGATTCCAGAACACTTAATTATGCTCATGAGGAACCTGTACCAAAAGGCAGTCATTTGAACAAAGCAAATAAATAGATACTACTGAATGGTTTAAAATCAAGAAAGGTATACATCAGGGGTATATCCTTTTGCCATTCTTATCCAATCTGTATGCTGAGCAAATAATCTGGATTACATGAAAAAGAATGTGATATCAGGATTTGAGGAAGACTCATGAACAATTTGCAATATGCAGATGACACAAATCTTGCATGTTGGAAGTGAAGAAGACTGGAAATACTGATGAAGATCAAAGACTACAGTTTTATATAAAGAAAACTAAATCCTTACAAATGGACCAATAAAAAAACATCATTACAGATGGAAAAAATATTGAGGTTGTCAAAGACTTCATTTTCTTTTTTGAAACTTTTTATTGTGAATCAAGTAAAGGTTTAAGAGAAAATCATCAGTTTAGCATTCAATGAATCATACATTTTGTTTCATTTCAATAACTGCAATCCCCTTCATGTAGCAACAGTTACCCCACTTCATCCCTGTGGCTTTTATTTCCATTCCACCCTCCTTCACATTCCGTCTCAACTTTGTCCTTAGGTAAACATTGCCCTTTTGATCTTGAATAGGTGAGCATTCCATGATGAGCATACCATGATAAAAATTGACCTACAAGGGTGAATTCTGTTCCAGACTTGAAGGGTGGTCAAGGGGCATAGTCCTGGGCTCTACCAGTGTTTCTAACCAATGAGTCTTGTTTTTTATATAATTTGAGTTTTGTCTCACATTTTCTCCTACTCTATCCAGGACCTTCACATGATCGTTTTCAAAGAAGTTGGTGGTGAGAAGTAGCCAGATCTTCTGGTCTGCGTCGTGCTGACTGATATTCGTATGTTTCATTGGTCCGTTGGTCTAATTGATTCCAATCCTCTTCAAGTTTTCATCACTCTTCTTTCTTCCACATATGGAGAGACCAATAGTTGTACCTTACATGGCCGCTCATCAGCTTTTAAGATCCCAGTTGCTACTCACCAAAGTAGAACATTGTCTTTGTGAACTGTGGTATGCCAGTTGACCATGGTATCCCTGGAGACTATGGTCCTGAGACCCTCAGATAGTGGGACTTTATCCCAAATATGCTATCATTTGGGATATTACATCTTAAACAACTCATTGCCTTAAGATGTTTAATAATATCTAAGAAGTTTTCATCATTTTGCCCTTATCTGTTCCACCACAAGGAGTGTTTGCAGCAAAGTTAAATTCCCATGTACAAATATCCTCTGTAAACCTTTTATGTTTTAGTATACTCCCACTCTCCTTCCCATACCCATTCAGCCTGTGTACCTCTGTCTATGTATCTACCTTGTTCTGATGAGACAGGTGAAGATAGAGGTAAATACTGTTATATACACAGCCCTGCAACAACAGTATTCTACGTGGACACATACACTGAATGGGTATAGGTGGAAGAGCAGGAGTATGCCCACAAAGAATAGTCACACAAACACTGTTTCTTTTTGTATGGAAACCCAATCTTGAGTTTTCACAATAGTAGTCTCATATACTATTTCTCCTTTTGTGATTGACTAATTTCCTGGTGTGGTGCTGTGGGATAAGCCCTAGATTGCTAACCACAGAGTCAGCGGTTCAAACCCACCAACCTCTCCTTGGAAACCCAATACAGGGTCACTAAGACTCAGAACTAAATTGACAACATTTAACAACAATTTCACTCAGCGTCCTATCCTCCAGCTTCATCCATGTTACGAGGTGTTTCATAAATTTGTTGTTATTAATGTTGCTTAGCATTCCATTGTGTGTATGAACCAAACTTGCTTTATCCTTTCTCCCACTGATGGGCATTTATGCTCTCTCCCGTCTTTTTGCTTTTGTACATAGTGCTGCAGTAAACATTGGTGAGCATGTATCAACTCATTACAGTTCTTATATCTTGAGGATATATACCAAGTAGAGGGATTTCTGGGGTTTAAGGTACTTCTGTTTTCCACAGTTGTTGCACCATTTTATAGTCCCACCAGCTGTGTAAGAGGGTCCCAGTTTCTCCACACCGTCATCAGCATTTGTTGTTTTCTGTTTGTTTTTTAACTTAGCTATTAATACTGGGATGAGATGATAGCTCATATAATTTGATTTTTTTTTTTAATTTAAGCTTTTAATGTGAAGTGAATGCTAGTTAACAGGACAGGTCATTAGTTTTACATTCAACCAATCATATTTTATTTAATTGCAATGATTACAATCCCCTCCATGTACCATCAGTTAACACACACCCCTTTCTTTCTTTTTTTCTTAACTTTATTAAAATACTGAGTTTATTTCACGTGTATATTTTTGTCTCCCCACCATTTCCATGTGTCTGACCACTACTACCACTAATTCCTATCATAACATTCCATACATACTTAGAACCAAGCAAAGGGTGGAGTTCCAGCTTTAAAATCTAAACAGGCATTTTGGACTACACATTCTTGGCAAAGGAACCTGGACAACATTTATCAGACATGGTAGGGAAAGTTCTCATTCTGCATTATAAAACAGGACAGCCAGATAGCAACTGTTACAGAAATGAAATAAGACGGAAACTTTTAACAAACTGTTTAAACTATTTTCTTAAAGAGACTTCCTCCACTGCCAGAGATCTTGACTAGCCTCTTGGTCTGTCATCCTGAAACAATTCTTCCCAGAATTGATGAATTTGGCTTCCACCTTGGGAAGGGAACCACCTTTTTCTATACTTGCTTGCATTTTTGCTTTAATATCTTTCTACAGAACTAGGTCCTTTCAGTGTTTTAGGTGTTTTTCCTGTTTTTTGAAGGATTCTTGACCTTTTGATCTTGGTGTTGATGGTTTTGAATCTTTTCCGTTCTGGTTTGATTTTTATGCATTTTTAGCTGGCGTTTCGCGTATAGATTTCTTGACTGGAATTTTTTCTTCAGTTTTATCATCATCAAAATCATCATCTTCATCTGCAGCAAGCTTTACTTTTTTCTGTGGAACCTTGTTACCACTTGCAGGGGCAGACCGCTTTCCTGACATACTTAAGAGTTTCACTTCTTCCTCTTCATCATCTGACTCTGCATCTTCCTCCACAGCTACTAAGTGCTGTCCACTAATATGCACAGGCCCTGAGCCACACTTCAACCATAAGACCACTGATGGCGTTATTTCAAAGCCCCCAAGGGAGACCATTGACTGTACAGACATTTTCAAAGTAGCCAGTGTGACTTTAATTGGGCTACCTTCATAATTTATTGCCTCTGCTTCAACAATGTGCAATTCATCCTTGGCACCAGCCCCTAAACTGACCATTCTTATTGATAACTGGTGCTCATTTTCATCATATCCTCCTTAAAGTGATAATCTTTATCGGCTTTTAGTTCACAACCAAAGAGATCGTTTTGGGGCTTCAGAGGGCTCATGGCCATATCCATCGACTCCTCCAGGGGGCGATGGTGCACACTTAGGTGATAGAGAAGAAGGATGGAGAGAATTGGGTTGCTGCTACTGAAAGCTGCACAGGACGAAATCACACCCCTCTTTCTTTATGTACACCAAACACACAGAAAATATATATTTGTTTAAATGTCTGAAGGGTATATTTTGCAGGGATTCTCAAGGAATGATCCCCAGAGTAGCAACATGAGCATTTTCTGGCAACTTGTTACAAATACAGATTCATAAACCCCATTCCAGACAGACTGAATCAGAATTTCTGGGAGTGGGCCCCAGTGATCTGTGTTATACCAAACCCTCCAGATGATTTTGGTACAAGCTTGAGAACCACTGGTATCATGTGAAATAGCATTTTGAAAACAGCTAAGTGTTCTAGAAATGTAACATAATGTGATTTTTAAAAATCGTAAATGTATATGCAGTGAAACACAGAGATCTTCAGTGTACAATTCTGTGACTTTTCATCACCCCATAAAGTGACTTCCAGTCTCCTTCCAGTCAGTTCTCAGCCCCCTCCGACGGCCACATGTTCCACTGGAGGGAGTAAGAGGACAGGAAGAGACAGCATCTATATTCTCTTTTTATTTTTACTATTTGTCGACAGCTTGTTCTTAGATTACTAAGCCTAGCTCTCTGGTGTTTTCAGCCCATGGACCAGGCTTCTCTCAAAAACAGCGATGTGCTCATTTTGACGGGGCTCACCCAGATCCCAACCGCAAACCCAGATGGCATGGTAGGAGAGTTCTGCAGCAACCTAGGTATGTATTCATGTCAGATCTCAAACTGGATGGTACAAGATACCTTGCTCCTATAGTATTTTTGGCCCCTTCCCTTCACATTTGCATCCTCTGGTGTCCCCTTTAAGGGCCCTTTCCCCCCCCCATTTACAGCTTCCCTTCCCATCCTTTAAATGCTGCTGTTGTCAACCAAAGCAGATCTTCAGCCACTTAAAGCTAAAGGTGCAATAAGAATAGTAGTTGTATTGGCAAATTCGAATTTTTAACCATTTTATACAAAAAATGCACAATATATTCCCACTTGATTTATGTCGAGAATCTTATTTTAATGGGATGTAGTGTGCTCTTACTCGATGGCACTTAACAACAACAGGGTGCTCTGAGGGTGGTAGTTGTCAAAGAAGGAAAGAATCACATCTTTGCTTTGCAAATAATAGCACAGAAAAGACCATTATAGTTTAAATTCATAGCAATGATACACTGAATAAATGTATTTTTCTCAATAATTGGTCACTATAATTTTTTTCTTCTTTTTGGGAAGACTAAATTGAGATATTTGTGGCATGTTTGCTACCTGGAAAAAATTTATTTTCTTTGGATATAATTACCAATAAAATCTGGAAATCCTGTTACCTTCCTTTTAAAAATATTAGAGGCGGTAATAAACTCAGCCTTTTTACCCCTAACAACTTTTAAGTGATGGGACATCTATTATAGGGGAAAGAAATGGTCAACTTCTATATTTGCATGAAAGGCAGTGTCCTTTGAAATTTTACCTAACAGCAACAACAAATGCTAATCATAGTCTATGTTTTTGTTCTTTGTTGATATTAAGCAAACAATATATTTTTGGAAAAATTACTAAACTACTCTCAAATAGAATCAATCATTGGTTAGTTGGTTGTTTGGTTTATAATCTAGACTCAGGGAGTCAACAAACTTTAGGTCTGAAAAGAACTTTAGTTCTAATTCTGCTTCTCAAAGTTGGGTATTCCAACACCGACCTTAGGACCAACACAAGGTATCTAAAAATTCAACTTTGGGCACCCTTGTAAGTCAGACTCTCAGGGGAGTTGGGGGGGAGAGTTGCATTTTCAACAAATTCCCTCGCCATTTTTATGCAAACTAAAGTTTGACACAGTGACTCATGTTGTTCATTTCTGTAATTCAACTGATAAGAAAACTGAAGCTCTACAAAGGTAACGTGGTGTCTCTAAAGTCCTATAGCTGGGACAAAGCCAGGACTGGAGCCCAGGACTCTCAACCTCTGGCCACTGATTTTAGTGTTTTCACTGTGCCATACTTTAGTGGTAGCAAGTCAACCAGTGCTCAAGTAGATAGGAGCCAACAAAGAATTCTAGTTCTATACCCTGAATTTGCTTGTATCAATTTGTTTTAGAAACCAAACAAAATACAAACTTGAATAAGAACTTGATGTGGTTTTTTTGTTTGTTTGTTTGCTTGAGCCAACTGTAATGATTGATATGATTGCAACTTAAAAGTTTCAGTTCATTAAGTATTAAAGTTTAGAGAATTTTCTTAGAGACAAAACAATAATGAAAGAAATGCCACTCAAAAAGACACCAATGGAAAACTTAGCTTATTCTCTTATAGATTATTCAGTGGTCAGAAGCTAAGCAGAGACAAGTCCCACATAATTTGTGGCACTGTGGGTTAATGTTCAGTACTGTAAAGTCACTTTGAACTGTAAGGTCACAAAGCCGGTGGTTCAAGCTCACCAGCCACTCCTTGCAAACCCTATACAGGGTTGCTATGAGTTGGAACCAACTCAACGACACAACAAAATAGAAGGGGAGTGAGTCTTGGTATGGTGCTGCAGGCTAATGCGCTGGACTGCAAGGTTGGTTTGAACCACAAGACCTGTGGTTCAAGCTCACGAGTTGCTCCTTGGAAACACTATATAGGGTCACTATGAGTCGATCGGAACCAAATCAAAGGCGCTTAACAATAATGACAAAACAGAAGGAGCTTGGAGGGTCTGCCCTGAAGCTCAGCTGCCACTGGTAGCCTTTAAAATCCAAACTCTTAATTGCATACCCTAGTCTCAGGAACTTAGACATCGAATAAAAAATTAGCTAATTATCAACCTCTAGATCCACCCCCACTTTGGTGCTACTCTTGAAGAAAAGCAGATTACTGTACATGTGAAGTAAATTGTAAGTGCTCAAGTAGGAAAATGAAGAAATGTAGGTATTTATTTCAGAGTTAAATTCTGTTATTATGAAATTGTTGTTCTGATACTTTTGTTTTCCTGTCTGGCTTCCATTGTGTAGCACTCACGGTCCGGAATGGAGGCAATGTGTTGGTTCCCTGCTACCCATCTGGAGTGATCTATGACCTCCTGGAGTGCCTGTATCAATACATCGACTCCGCCGGCCTGTCCAGTGTCCCGTTCTACTTCATCTCCCCTGTGGCCAACAGTTCACTCGAGTTTTCCCAGATATTTGCTGAGTGGTATGTCTGTGGTTTTCTCCATGACTTCTATTTGATTCAGAGGTTATACATTCAAACAGTAAGAATAAAACAAATCTTGGCTTCTTCTCACACTACTGTGATGCTTTCATTTTGTTGTTTTGCCGTATCTGTGATCTGTAACTGCATTAGTGAAAGCCAAATCTATTTACTGCTAGAGTGTAGAAGAGTGGTAATAAAGGAATAAGGATTGGAAGGCAGAAATGTAATTTTCCAACACTATTCAAAACCAGTAGCAGCTCCCTAATTCCTCTTGCTTCAGTTAATATTTTATCATATGCTAGCTGTGCCCATTCCAAAGAGAGGTGACCCAACAGAATGCGGAAATCATCAGACAATATCTTTGATATCCCATGCAAGTACAGTTTTACTAAAGGTAATACAGAAACGGCTGCAAGCATACAGTGACAGAGAACTTCCAGAGGTTCAAGCCGGATTCAGAAAAGGCTGTGGAATGAGGAATATCATTGCTGATGTCTGATGGATCTTGGCTGAAAGCAGAGAATATCAGAAAGATGTTTACTTGTGCTTTATTGACTACACAAAGGCTTTTGATTGTGCGGATCGTGACAAGCTATGGGCAACATTGCGTTAAGTATGAGAATTCCAGAACACTTAATTGTGCTCATGAGGAATCTGTACATGGACCAAGAGGCAGTTATTCGAGCAGAACATGGAACACTGAATGGTTTACCATTAAGAAAGCTGTGCAACAGAGTTGTATTCTTTCACCATACTTATTCAATGTGTATACTGAGCATATAATCCGAGAAACTGGGTTATATGAAAAAAAAAAAAACGTGGCATTAGGATTGGAGGAAGACTCATTAACAACCTGCAGTATGCAGATGATACAACTTTGCTTGCTGAAATTGAAGAAGACTTAAAATAGTTACTGATGATCAAAGAGCACACAGCCTCTGGTATGGATTGCATCTCAACGTCAAGAAAACAAAATCCTCACCACTGGACCAATAAACAGCATTCTTATCAACGGAGCAGAGATTCAGGACTTCATTCTTCTTGGATCAACTATCAACACTCATGGAAGCAGCAGTCAAGAAATCAAACGATGTATTGCATCAGGCAAATCTGTTGTACAAGACCTTTTTAAAGTATTGAAGAGCAAAGATGTCAGCTTGAGGACTAAGGTGCACCTTACCCAAGACATGGTATTTTCAATAACCTCATATGCGTGTGAAAGCTGGACAATGAATAAGGAAGACCATAGAAGAGTTGATGTTTTTGAGTTATGGTGTTAGAGGAGAATATTAAAAAGTGCCACGGGCTGCCAAAAGAACCAGTAGATCTGTGTTGTAAGAAGTGCAGCCAGAGTGCGCCTTGGAGGCCAAGATGGCCAAACTTCTTCTCTCATACTTTGGGCATATGGTCAGGAGGGACCAGTCTCTAGAGAAGGATATCATGTTTGGTAAGGTGGAGGGTCAGAGAAAAAGAGGAAGACCCCCCCAGCGAGATGGATTGGGAAAGTGGCAGCATCAATGGGCTCAAGCGCGGCAACAGTAGTGAGGTTGGCCCAGGATCAGGAGTGTTTAGTTCTGCTGTGCATAAAGTCGCTATGAGTCGGTACTGACTCGATGGCATCTAACAACAACAACAGCAAGCTGCTCTGCGGGCGAGAGATGAGGCATATTAATATTATTATTATTATTAAAACTATCAATACATAAAAATTAAAAGTTGTCAGAAAGATTAAAGACCTACATGGAATGTATCCTTGATTGAGCCTTGCAACATAAAAAGGGCATTTGGTGAAATATGAATAAAGACTGCAGTTTAGTTAATAGTAATGTGCTAGCCCTGGTGTGGCACTGTAGTATAAGCACTCAACTGTAAGGTCGGTTTGAAGAACAAGCCTGGCGGTTCAAACTCACTAGCCACATCTCAGAAACCCTATACTGGGTCGATAAGAGTTTGACCCAACTTGATAGAACTTAACAACAACAAATATGCTAATTCATTAATTTTGACAAAGGTCCTACTTTTGTGTACCACAGTTATATAAGATGTTAGCATCAGGGGAAGCTGAGTAGAGGATACATGGGATATCTTTACTACCTAACTCTATTCTGTAAACTGTGTTATGTACTCAGCCATTAATTCAAAGATTGGTTGTTTGAATATCCACCAAAAGGTACCTCAGAAGAAAGGCCTGGCCATGTACTTGTAGAATATCCCAGACCTAGAAAACCCTATGGTTCTACTCAGATGCACATGAGTCAGGGTCAAATCAGCAGCAACTGATTTGGGTTCTTGTGTTTGTTTGTTTGAATGTGTATTGAGAAGTTTTAAAGCTTAAAAAAATTGGCTCACAAGATGCTTTTGTCAGGAGTGCTCTGTAGGAGATGGCTTTGATTATTCTCTGAGAAACTGAAGTTCTTCAGTGTTTAGGTATTTGCAGTGCTACCACTGGGTGGCAACAAATACCACAGAATGGTGGAAGTAATCTGTTGCTTTGTTTCTCCTCTTTAAAAGGCTTTGTCACAACAAACAGACTAAAGTGTATCTCCCAGAACCTCCTTTTCCTCATGCAGAGGTAAGAAAATGGGATTACTTGGTCTGGGTAGAAAAGAAATGTAGTAACTTGATGTTAGATGGAGAGTTGCTGAGGAGGGCAGTCCATCAGATAACAAATATTACTAGGAAAACCTATATCCCATCGCGTCCCATGCACAACAGTAGTGAAGTTTTCCAATGTAGAAGTCAGTACGTTGTTATATATTCTCAAAGCTCCATTCATTTTAATGATTATTAACACATATTGATTAATTGTTGTTGTTGTTGTTAAATGCCATCGAGTCGGTTCCGACCCATAGCGACCCTGTACAGGGTTTCCGAGGGTGTAAATCTTTACGGGAGCAGAAAGCCTCCAAGTATAGTTGACTATAATGACATGGATGAAGTAA